ACTTGCACAATCGGTGGCTGACTAAATACTTTTTTGCCCCACTGTATAAAGCACTCGGAGGCGACTGTTGTTGTGACGTAGCGCTCTGACAGCACATATATTCCTCAAATATAAATATTTTATCTATTTGCACCAAAATATAACAGATCTTCCTTTTGCCTGTATTCAGTTCTTGCACATTGGTTTGGTAATGTTTGCAGTATCGTGGTAACGTGATACAGTCCTGAGCCATACTCTGTAGAACCACGGCCTCTTCACTACCATCCTTCCACTGAGACCATTTCTGACTTCAGTGAGGGAATCAGCTGCAGGATGGCCCCGCCCCTCCCTGAGCCTGGTTTGCTGGATGTTTCTTCCTGTTAAAAAGGAGTTTTTCCTCCCCACTGTCGCCACAGTGCTGCTCATAGCTGCTCGTCTGACTGTGGGGTTTTCTCTGAGGTCCTCTGTCGGTCTCTGCTGGATCTCTTTCCTCTTTCTTTGCTACATGACCTTCAGACAACCCGCTGTAGATATTTTTAGCCCTGGCACTTCTCGTTTTGTTTCCCACTCACATTCCTCAGATGCTTTAAGGATTCCTACACCACCTCAAGTCGATGTATTAAAAACTTGGGTGTCTGTGCCACGTGCCTGTCAGTGTGATGTTTGCAGCTGAGATAAGGACTGAACTGCAACTGGATGTGGAAGCAGCCAATCCAGAAACTGAAAGCTAGAAAACTGTTCAAAGATGACAAGAAAGTCTGACTGATTGGAAAAAAATATAAAAAGTGAGGGCTGGCGTTTGCACGTTATTATTCTAACAGATGAAAGGCGACTCCTGACGTCTTCTGTAAAATTGAAAACGCAAAAACATTTTTCAAAGCTAAGCTGTAATTTTCTCCTCTCAGTTTTCGGTCCCTCCTGCAAACGAATCCTGTCAGTCACTAACATCCCTCCACTTCCTCATCAAAGGATATCCATCAGGCTCCATCATGGTCCTGATGTCGAACACCTCAGCAGTTAGGTAGTCAGGTCCTCCCCACGGTGGCGACAGGAAGACCACATCAGCGTGGAGGTGGGGGGCAAGCTGAAGGAAGTCCCCTTGTATGAAGTCGATTCGGTCGGCCACACTGTAAACCGCAGCATTGTGCCGAGCCATGTCCAGCCGCACTGGATCGATGTCAACAGCTAAGACTGAGAGAGAAACACGACGCAGAGGACAGACTGTGAGCTCCGCGTGTTCAGCATTTCTAAAAACACCTTATGAACTTATAAACACTTACCTCTCTTTCCAGTGAGGGCAAACTGGATGGCATTTCCTCCTACACCACAGAAGGCGTCTATGACCAGCTGAGACGCAGAGAAACTGTGCTCCACCCTGAGGGCAATGTGCTCAGCGATTCTCTCCGGTGTCACAGAGAACCAGCCCTCTGAAACACATGATGAGCATGTGTGAGACGACCTGAGCAGCTAAACCCTGCAAAGAGACGCCGGCAAACTTCCTGCTGTATTCATCACCCATTCCTTCTCAGTTTAATTCAATACAATGTTAGTTATATAGCGCCAAATCACGACTACTGTTCAAGGTACTCGTTGAACATCACAATCAGAAAACTTTATTAATCCCAAAGGAAATTATAAGGCTGCCATGAGGGTGGTTCTCCTCAGTACGTGAGCAGAGCCCAGAAGGAGGATCTGTGTTACGCTGATGCTCTTCTCAATTTCAAAGTCTTTACATTTTGAGAGTTTTTCTAAAACCCTCAGTTTTCTCCTTCCTTACTAAGCCACGTGTCTTGATTTCTTTCTCTGTACATTCCTCAGTTTGCTGCTCTCAGTTACTGTTCATGTTTGAGGAGCTTGGCTAGAAAGCGACTTTGTTTCAGTCTCTTCCACAAAGCTTCTTTAGTTCTGAACCAAAGGTTGAACGAGCTTCGTTGTAGTAATGTGTGCGACTAGATGACTAACAGTCGCTATCGTCACTCATCAGTAAAACTGGTCGTTGGTATTTCTCCAGACACGCTGGAGGAGGTGGGCGGGAAGCGGCAGGTCTGGTCTCCTGCTCAGACTGCTGCAGATAAACTTATTACTGTACTGTGCACTCTGAGTTATAAGTAAGTTCTAAGTAAGTTATAAGTAAGTTATAAGTAAGTTCTAAGTAAGTTCTAAGTAAGTTCTAAGTTAGTTCTAAGTTAGTTCTAAGTTAGTTCTAAGTTAGTTATAAGTTAGTTATAAGTTAGTTATAAGTTAGTTATAAGTTAGTTCTAAGTTAGTTATAAGCTAATTCAGTGACAGTAAACGATGAGTAAAAGAAATATGTCTAATAGTTATACAGCAGCTGTTGGGAGGCGACGTCACGAGTGTCAGGTTTTTGTTTTGTTTAAATCTGACATTAAAAAATAAAAATGCAGGACAATCAGTGTTGCTGCCAGTCACTGACACTCCTCAGGGCCTAACAAAGTAATATTCAAACACTTCTTTAAATGTGGTTTATAAAAATGATCTTTGGAGCTTTTACTCACCTGGATGCTCAGCCATCCAGGTGAGAACACTGAAATGACCTGAACTGTAATGCAGAGCCGGCTCTCAGTCATTTAGAGGTTAAATATGACTCACATGTTGTTGATTCCACTGGAGTAATGTGACATAACTGCAGTGTGCAGACTGACCTCGGTCCAGTCTGATCCCTTCATCAAAGCGAGAGAAGAGTCTGTAGCGCTGAGCCCAGTATTTAGCCAGCTGTGGTTCAGCTGCCATCTCTGCTGGGACCTGCTGCTGCTGCTTCTTCTTCTTCTTCTTCTTCTTCTTTGGTGTTTTTGTGTCTTTCACACTTAATTCTACACAGACATAAATATTAGGCAGTTACTTTTTTGTTCATTTCTGTTAAACAGCATAGCCTTACTATGAACAACCTGATTCACCAGCAGATTTACTGTGAACTTCAGGCTCGTCAGGCAGGAGAAAGTCAGGAATCTGAGGACAGGGTAAGTGTGTGCCCGGCTGCTCCTCTCTCTCCTCCACGTCACTCTCCTCCGGCTCTGTGACAGAGTTGGAGGTGATGCTGGGGTAACTGCTGCCCTCTGCATCTAAACTGGATGCAGAATTCTTCACCTCCTTTTTCCTCCCGTCTTTTTCTTCTTGAGCTTCTCTTAAAAATGGAGGCTTGTCCTCAGGGTGTCTCTCTCTGTCCACCTCCCTCTGGTCACACTCTCGCTCTCGCTGGACCTGTTCAAGGAAACTTTGAACCTGTGAAACAAAAAGACTTTTTTCGTTCTGTGTAACGTTCAAACAAACAAAGCTCTGCTCGACTTCCTCCTATCTAAGCTGTTCCAGTCCTCCGTGCTTTTAATCCACGTCCACGGACATGCCAGGAGAACAAGTAAAGGACATGACTTTCAGTGATTTCCACTGTGATGCTTCCTTTCAGCTGTTACTCCAGCCTAACGTCTGAGGACTTATTGAGATTCTGGGGTCATCTTTCATGCTCACAAAACTGAAAACATCTAATCTGTCCTGGCTGATCAGGGACAGGCTTCAGAACACGTCCGCTCTTCAGCACGTTGCAGGTCGTACCTTACAAAGGGAGGTGCTGATCTGTGGACGTGTGCTGTCTCTGCCCGTCTTTGAGAACCTGGTGCTGCTGATTCTTCTCTTGGTCCATCGCTGCTTCTGACTCTTTGAAGCTGAGCTTCCTTTGAAGCTGAACACACTGTTGAACCTGAGACACGAACACATTGTAACAATTTAGACATTTAAAAACATGTTTACACTCAAACAGCCGCGCTCACATAAACCTTTGTGTTTCTAAAACACAGAGAAACGGCTCCGAAGTAGGCTGGGTTCATTCATTTCACCAGAGCCGACACCTGCAACACTTCAAGCATAAAAACTGTCAATGTGCAGCATTCGCTGCCTTGCAGGCCTTTTGTGTTCTAGATGTTGGTTTGCTGAAGTTAACGGCTTTCATGTCACATGTTTGTCTGTTAATGAAGAATCAGTGCTGTTAAAAGTCAGCACACGATGCCACATTACATCTCCGGTGCACTACAGTGACAATCACGCGCCCTGTGCTTTCCCTGCTGTGAAAGGTCCGTTGGGAAAAGTCGTTCCACACTTCCACAGTGTGTATTTGGTCCCATCTTCCTCCCCTCAACCTGAACCAGTCGCAGAAGATACTGGGAGTTTCTTCCTGTTAAAAGGGTTTTTCCTTCCCACTGTTGCCCAGAGCTGCTCGTCGCTGTGTGCCTGACTGTTGGGGTCTTCTTTGTATCTTTGCAGGGTCTGTAAACCTTGAGGCGACAGTTAATCTGATTTGGTGATAGTTCAGTCAAGTTGGATCCACACTGGCTCATATGTTTGTTCCAGTTAACTTTCTGTTTTATGAGGAGATGGGTTCCAATCAGTGATGTAAAGCATAAGGCTGCAAAATTCAATGATGAATATTTTTTGTCCTTTAATACTTTTTTACCCCGACTGTGTTTTGTTTCACCAATCTTATGTTTTTGGAACTAATATATTATATTTTTAATCTCATTCTCTGCCTAGAAGACCATTATGTCTTTTAGCAGGTAAAGTGGATGCAGTCACTGAGGACTTGTGACCTACCACAAACAAAGCAGGACATGTGCTGAATAACAACTTCAGCTTTAGGCCCATTTCTAATAATCGAGTTGAAATGTTTTCATCTGAGTGTTTTTGTTTTGCATGTTTTATATTTATCTCATAAACATAAACGACCAATCACAAGGTATCTGAGTTGGAGTCGGCAGACGTGACCGAGACGAGATTCCCAAAGGAGCAGAGGAAGACTTACTGAGGCTCTGGGTTGTGTTTGAGGCCAAGCTGACTCCAAGCTTCCTCAGGTGTCAGACGTGGGCACTCGTCCACATCCAGCTCATGACTAACAACAAGGACAAACAGCAGAAACATTATTCCCGGGCTTGTTGGAGAGATGACGGCCTCCATGATAGAACATCAAACTTACCTCCGTTTGACTTTAGCGCATCCTTTTCCTGGAGGTTTGTCGTCATCGTCATTATCATCGTTTCCATCGGGTGTTTCATTCCTCGATCCGTGCCGTCCGTTATTCCCGGCAGCAGCCAGTTGGAAGCCTGTGTCAGGACGTGCAAAACGCTACACGTTTATTAAAGCAACCACGCATCCATTTACTGAACAAAGGAGAAAAAACTGTGGTGAAAACCACAGGACAAGAACATGATTAACCAAACATAACTGAACAAGTTAAGATTCAGTCTTTGACTCATTTTCATACACAGCTCAGTAAACACAAACACTGTTTCTGTGACACTGAGTTACTGAAGTCATTGTCACCAAAGTAACAAGTTCCTGTGTGATCCAAGGTTGGCTGACGCTGTCGGGATGTGAGCTCCTTCCACTTTTCTGAAGACATTTGTTTTCAGTGGTTGTGAAGACCTACGCCAGCGGTCGGCAACCCGCGGCTCCAGAGCCACAGGCGCCATTTCATCCTTATACTCCCGCGTGGTTTGGGAAAGTAAATTAAAGTATTTAATTGAAGTGTATTCTATTTGTTTTAGTTCTAAATTGGAAGATGACTGTGATCTTGAAACATTAAAATCAAATTATATTTCATTATTTTTTTGACGCTCAAACTAAGCGCCACACTCGACATCGAGGCCGCTCTTGTTCAGGATCACAGATGGAGTGATGTCGAGACCAACCAAATCCAACTCGTGTTTGAAACATGGAGCGCCATCCCGACACATAAACATGAAGAACTATGCATCTGGAGTCTTGTCGAGCTTCTGATCCACACACATATGTGAGCAGCTATTCTCCACACCGCTCACGCCTCACGGCCCCGATCTGCAGACGCCGTGCGCAGACGTTCAGGAGCAAAGTCCCATTAAGCAGGTGAAAGAAATATCTATGCAGGTACTTTGCAAAAATGTATTCATCATGGTTTAGTGACGTTTATTTTTAAATTCAGGCTCCGCTACACGCTCAGCTTTGTTTGTTCCGTGGATCATTTAAGTTCAGCTTTTTAATCGTGTTTGTTTTTGTTAATATTTTTTTAAGAGTTCAAAATGTGTTTATTACATAAATGTCTTTTTCTCTGTAGATTTCATGAGCAACACATTATTGTTGTTTATACGAAGCGTGAAGGTAAAAAAACAGGATGCAGTCTTATCTTCATTTTAGAGTCACAAAGTGTTCGCGGCTGCCAGTGTTTCCTTTTCCGTGGAAACTGGGTCCACGTGGCTCTCTGTGTGTTAAAGGTTGCCGACCCCGGCCTATCGAACAGCTAATGTTTCTCAACATAACTGATTTCTCTTGTGTATAGGGTGTGGGGATTTTCTACACTGACTTTATTTGACTCAATATTTAGTTTCCTGTGGGCGCCCGTACTTTGTTCTTGTCCCCCTGGACACGTTGCTGGACAGAACATGTTGGTGGACAGACATTCGACACTGAGGTCAGTGTCTCGTTGTCCCAGTGAGCTGAGCGTTTGTCTCTCACTGCCAGCACCAAGTGGAAGAACCTTAGTTTATGTTACGGGTGTCTCGTTCCTTTGAAACAGGTTCCACTCAAAATGCTTGAAAAAGAAAACAATGAGAAATGTTATGACTGAAACTCAGCAGACAGATAGTCTGCCTGATCATGCAGCCTTGGCCACACCTCATACACACAATTGTTACCTGTAGTAGCGCTGTGATGCTGTACAGAGTCAGCTGGTCTCTTGCGGTTATTCCCATCATCAGAAGCATCATCAGAGCTGCAGGACACTCCCTCTGACTGGACCATGACTGAACCAGCCACACACTGTCCACCTGCCTCCACTGTGAAGCTCTGTCCAAACAGAACATGCAAAACTTCAGCATCATCTTCTTCGTGTTTACTCTCAGCTTCAGTAGGGCTGTCGCTCTGTTTCTCTGATTGGCTCTGTAAACCTCTGTCCGTGATTCCCGTTTCTTCTTCCCCTCCAGCGTTCCCATTACAGGCAGACTGCTCAAAGGTCCAGCCCTGTCCCGCCCAGTACGAGTACTGTTCCCAATAAGAATAGTAGGTCTCTGTAGCGTGTTTGTCCCAGAGAGCTTTAGTATCCGGATTGTCCCAAGGAGTCCGTCCTGGATCTTCTGAAGACGGCAGCTCATGTTTCTCCAGCCAGCTGCTCCACATCAGAGCTTCTCCCTGTTGTGCTGCAGAAGAGTCAAAACATTAGTTAATATTTCATGTGTAGAATCGTTGCATTAAAAGAACATGAAGAAGATATGGTGGAACTTCTTTTTTTTAAATGGTCAGTGGATACTCGGGGCGGCTGTGGCTCAGGTGGTAGAGCAGCTCAGCTCCTGATCGGAAGGTTGGTGGTTCGATCCCAGGCTCCTCCAGTCTGCATGCCAAGTGTCCTTGAGCAAGATACTAACCCCGATTAAAAAGCTCCGATGCGTTCATCAGAGTGTGAATGTAGATTAAGTTGGCACTTGCATGAGTGCGTGAATGAGGCATGTCGTATACGGCGCTTCGAGCACTCCGGGAGAGTAGAAGCACAATGAAATCAGTCCATGCTGCTTTCCTGTCTGTGTTGGTCTAAACAGACGCGTGAAGCCAGAATTTTGGATGAACTGTGCAGGTTCTGAGGAGCACGATAAACAGTTATAATTATTTATGAAGTCAGATGACACAAATGAATTCGACATCAGGAGACATGTCTGCAAGACCTGGATGACCTGCCAACTTCTACTCCTGAATGAAGAAGTAGACGAACGTCTTGCCCAGCAGACTGGAGGAGGCCACTGGTAGTTGACCCACTGCCTCCTGAGCCACAGCCACCCCGAGTATCCACTGACCCAACATGATATCTCTATGTCTTCCTTCAAAACCCGGTGTCACAGTGCAGTGTTAGAAAAAAACAGTCTTCATACATTTCACTATAAACATCATGTGACCATTCTTACCCCAGTAGGCTTCCCAGCCAGCATCTTGGATCCCTCCTGATACTCCCACAC